GAGTGCCCAAATTGCAAGTAGGAGAAGAAGGCTAAGGCTCATCTAGCGAAGGCTGATGATGATGATGAGGCCACTCTCCTGATGGTGACATTCTGTGCACTGCACGACGTTGATGCCAAGGAGAAGGGCGAGGGGATGGCTGTGGAAGGGCCTGGCAACGCTCTGAAGGCTGTCCACCTCGATGAACCACGCGCCCAAGTCCACCTCAGACTTGTGGGCGGTGGACAGGAGCAGCGGTGGTACCTAGACTCTGGCGCCAGCAACCACATGACGGGCTCCAAGGTAGCCTTCTCCGAGCTCAACGACGACGTGATCGGCATGGTGAAGTTCGGTGATGGTTCACGGGTGCCGATCCGAAGGCGCGACACCATCATCTTCATGTGCCAGAATAGCGAGCACCACACGCTAATGGATGTATATTACATCCCGTAGCTGTGTTCAAGCATGATCAGCATTGGTCAGCTAGATGAGCGTGGTAGTGAGGTACTGATCAAGAATGGCGTCCTCAGGATTAGGGACCGGGAGCAGCACCTTCTTGCCAAGGTGAAGAGGTCCCGAAACTGGCTGTACCTACATGACTTGAAGGTGGAACAGCCAGTGTGCCTAGCAGCACGGCACACTGAGGAGCCATGGCTGTGGCATGCCCGGTTCAGCCATCTCAGCTTCGACGTGCTCGGTTGGCTGGAGAAGATGGTCCGAGGACTCCCCCACATCAAGCACAGAGGCGAGCTGTGTGACAGCTGCCTGGCCGGAAAGCAGAGGAGGCTATCATTCCCAAAGGCGGCCAAGTATCACATGGAGGATGCTCTCGAGCTCGTCCAAGGTGATCTCTATAGGCCAATCACGCCAGCCACAAATGGTGGTCGGCGGTACTTCCTCCTGCTCGTGGATGATTGCAGTCGTTATATGTGGCTGCAACTCCTGACGAGCATGGACGAGGCAACGGTGGCGATCAAGAAGTTCAAGGCACGCGCGGAGGCCGAGAGCGACAAGAAGCGGCACGTGCTGAGGACTGATCGCGGCGACGAATTCACTTCGGTGGAGTTCGCTGCGTACTGCGTGGATCAGGGTGTGGTGTGACACCACACCGCGTCGTACTCACCACAGCAGAATGGCGTGGTGGAGAGGTGAAACCAGACAGTGGTCAGCATGGCTTGATCCATGATGAAGGCTAAGAGCATGCCGGTAAGGTTCTAGGGTGAGGCGGTGACCACGACAGTGTTCATCCTCAACCGCGCGCCCACCAAGGCCCTGAAGGGCAAGACGTCGTTCGAAGCTTGGTATGGGCGCAAGCCGAGCGTGTCCTTCCTCTAGACATTCGGCTGCATCGGCCATGTCAGGAAGACAAAGCCGGTCCTCACTAAGCTAGAGGACAGGAGCACACCGATGGTGTTCCTAGGCTACGCGGAAGGTACCAAGGCGTATCGGCTCTACGACCCACGCGGAGGCAAGGTGCTTGTCTCGCGTGACGTCTTGTTCAATGAGAAGGTGGCCTGGGACTGGAACAGTCTGGGCATGGGGGAAGCTGGCAGCTTCACCAGCGCCTTCATCGTCGAGCACTTGGTCATCCACAATGGTGGAGATGTTTGAGAGGAGGTGCCGACCACTCCAGCAACAGAGGCAAGCACTCCTGGGGTGGTGCCGAGCACTCCGGGAGGGGTGCCGAGCACTCCAGGAGTGGTGCCGAGCAATCCTGCAGTGGTGCAGACCACTCCATGATGGGTGCCAAACACTTCCGTAGCAGAGTCGAGAAGTCTTACAGTGGTGCCGACCACTCCAAGACTAAGACTGAGCACTCCTGCAGTGGTGCCGAACACTCTAGGAGTGGTGATGAGAGGTCCAGGAGTAGTGCCGAGCACTGCAGCCGGGGTGCCAAGCACTCCAGGTGTCGTGCAGACCACTCCAGCGGAACAGGGAACTCCATCGACGCCGATTGAGTTCGCCTCACCTCCAAGCGACATCATTAAGTTCGTGGATGCTTTCCACGACGGGGAGGAGGTGCGGTTCCGCATAGGGCCCTCAGGCCTGGCGGGTCGGCTGCTCAATGACCTAGAGCTACTTCTCGTTAGTGCAGAGGAACCACCCACGTTCACGCTGGTCGAGCGCGATGCAAATTGGCGACGGATGATGCTGGAGGAGATGAAGGCGATTGAGAAAAATGAGACTTGGGAGCTCGTCGATCCACCTCCAGGATGCCATCCGATCGGCCTGAAGTGGGTGTACAGAGTCAAGCGGGACGAGCACGGCGCCATTGTCAAGCACAAGGCGCGCCTTGTCACCCGAGGCTTTGTCCAGCGCGAGGGCATTGACTTTGAGGAAGTCTTTGCGCCGGTAGCGCGCATGGAGTCTGTCCGACTGCTTTTGGCTTTGGCAGCAGCAAAGGACTGGTGCGTCCATCATCTGGACGTAAAATCAGCTTTCCTCAACGGCAAGCTAGCGAAAACGGTCTTCGTTAGGTAACCTATGGGTTTCACCGTCAAGGGAGCGGAGCACAGGGTGCTCCGACTGCGCAAGGCGCTCTACGGGCTACGGCAGGCCTCACGAGCGTGGAACACCAAGCTTGACGCCGTGCTGGGCGAGCTTGGGTTTAGGAGGTGTGCAACCGAGCACGCGCTCTACACGCGGCGACGGGGAAGGAGGAGCTCATCGTCGGCATGTATGTGGATGACTTGATCGTCACCGGCGCTTGTAGAGGACATCGACAGCTTCAAGCGGGACATGGAGGCTCATTTTTGAATAAGCGATCTCGGCGCACTCTCCTACTACCTCGGCATCGAGGTGAGACAGGGGAAGGAGGCGCTAACACTCGGTCAGAGCGCGTATGCCTTGAAGCTGTTGGAGCGGAGCGGCATGGCTAAGTGCAAGACATGCGTGACTCCAATGGAGGAGCGGCTGAAACTGACGAAGGCCAGTACTACGGCAAAGGTAGATGCAATACTCTACCGGAGCATCGTCGGCGGTCTGCGCTACCTAGTCCACACGAGGCAGACATTGTGTTCGCCGTGGGCTACGTCAGCCGCTTCATGGAGGATCTCCGAGAGGATCATTGGGCTGCGGTGAAGCGGCTGCTGCGCTACGTCAAGGGGATGGTGGATCAGGGAATCGTCTTCCCCAAGACTGGCAGGAGTAGGCTGCAACTCACTGTGTTCAGCGATGCAGACATAGCGGGGGACATCGACGGACGGCGGAGCACCTTTGGCGTGCTTGTTTTCCTCGGGTCGGCCCCAATCTCATGGCTGTCACTGAAACAGAAGGTGGTGGCGCTGTCCACGTGCGAGGCAGAGTATGTGGCGACGGCCACAGCGGCGTGTCAAGCTGTGTGGCTACGCTGGCTGCTAGGCGAGTTGACCGGTGTGGAAGCTACCCACCAACACTGATGGTGGACAACCAGCCCGCCATCGCCCTCGCGAAGAATCCGGTTCTCCACGACCGGAGCAAGCACATCGACGTCAAGTTCCACTTCCTCAGGGACTTTATTGATGGAGGGCAGATCATCATCGAGTTCATCGAAACTGGTCGGCAACTCACGGACGTCATCACCAAGCCGCTCGGTCGTCTTCGGCTCACGGAGCTGAAGAAGATGTTCAGCATGGAGGGGGTTTAAGGGTTAGCAGCAGGATTATGAGAAGAATTGTTAAGTAATCTGCTGCTCTCCTTGTGTGAACGCACGGCAGGGATAGGCGGCGCCGAAAAGGGCTCCCTGCTGTTGCGCTGTAGCAGCTATAGGGGCAGGTGCCGAATGGCTCTCCTGCCGCACTGTAGCCACAGCAGGGGCATGCGCCAAAGTCAGCCCAACTGTCAAATCTAGTCATTGTAGCAGTATGGCAACCTGACATGTCTGTGTACTAGGATATATGGGTAGAGTTGTATATATAGTTTGCCACTGCAACTCAGTAAAGAGCGAGTTCAGTTTGCCATCTCATCTGCAGAGCTCTGGCCAACGCTGATGCTTGTGCTGTGTGTGCTCTGTTCTCTCTCCCTTCTTCTACCTCTAGCCATAGTGTGTGGTCGGCAACGACAGTGGTGGTCGACAACGGTGGTGAGTGGTCGATTCACCCATGCCGAAGATCCAGGGGCTAACATATTTGCTGACAAGCACGGAAGGAAGCCTGCATCGTGATGAGCATCATCTGTGTATGGAACATTTAGACGCATGGTGTGGTTGTAGTTAGTACTCTATCGGCAAATGGACTGAAGTAAACCTGGTTTAATTTTCTAGGATTGTGTTCAACACACTCTTTGGCATCAGTAAGAGTTATTGGATGGCAATTGTAACTAGGGGGTTGCTTGGGTTGCTCTCTGGTATAATAGGACCAACCAAGGTAACTTATTGTATTCATTGCTTGCCCTCAATTAGAAAAAGAAAGTAGGCATTAGATGCTCATGGATGCATATATGTATTTTACAGGCCTATGCTACAGAAGTTTGTAGGAAAGAGCACCAAGCTCTAGGAATGTCTCTCGACAGGTCTTGTTGTTGGACCAGCTATTGGAGGGTTTCTTGCACAAGTGAATATATTTTTACTCTTAATTGTTCAATAAAGCAAACTTTGCAAAAAATATATGAACGTTATCTATCCTCTATTTTGTATTAGCCTGCAGAAAAGTACCCACGTATTTTCTCCAAAGAGTCCATATTTGGAAGGTGGACTACTGCTCATACTATTTCTATTCTATTAGTCTTTTATCGTTTTAAGAATATGAATCATCTTTGGAATTTGCTTCCACTTTTAGGTTTCCATACTTCCTCCCATGCTTGGTCATATCGATTCTAGCAGCAGTATCATGTATCGCATGCATTTGGCTTCAGGTATGAAACAACTTTTCCCTTATGATTCTTTCCCTTGAAAACCCAATTTGTTACACCCTTTCAAAATGCATAAATATATCAGAATTGCTACGCCTCTGTACATAGGTATCCTAATAAATTTTCCTTTAGATTCTGAGGAAACGCTGCACTTTCATACTGGAAGTTCCTTAGCATTTATCCCATTTTCTTAGGAAACGCTGCACTTTCACAACAATGAGAAAGTAGACGCTATTGATGAAATGGAAGCACAAGTTGGTCACTCAAACGTAGAAGGTGGACAAGCTAAAGAATCTGGTGGCACATCTACAAAGAATCTACTAAAGAACTGGCAATTGATGTCATCAATAATCCTCTATTGTATCTTTTGTCTTCGTGACACAGCTTATCTTGAGGTGATCTCTTCTTATATGATCTTGAGAGTAACTTCTTTAATAACAATTCAATATGAGATAATACTAATAATATTATTGTGGCCCTTGAAATTGTCGTTAAGCTGCCAATGATGAAACCTAATATATATATATATATAAATATCTTTAGATATTTTCACTCTGGGCAGTGAGTAGTAGAAAATTCCGGGGCCTGAGTTTGACATCCCAGGATGTTGGCCTTGTGCTAGTCATTTCAGGTATGTGATATTTGCCAAGTTTTTATGAATATTTGTTGCACACAGTCCCTTGCAAAAGAGAAGATGAACTACATGACCTGCAATAAATTAAAGTATAATGCATACATAGAATTCGTCTTTACCACTTCCAGATGCACTTCCATCAAATTATTTACCTTACAGCCATGCCATTTGATCCTTGTAGGTTTGGGTGTTCTGGTATATCAACTTGTTGGTTATCCCTTAATTGCCAGGTATTTCGGACCAATCAGACCATTATGACCTGCTGCGGTATGTGAGAAATACATCTTAGTGAGATTTACTTCAACACACCACTTGTAAAAAACAAGAATCTAAAACAAAGTAATTTAGTGTTTAAGTGGGGAAACAAACATGCATCAGCATTGTAAATAAATCAAAATTAATGGTAGTCATAGATTTTAATATTAGGTGGGGGAGAATAGTGATCGGTTTCTTTTATGAAACTATGTGGCATGCTTCACAATTTATAAAAAGCTATATTGAAGAAAATCCTTATTTTTGTTAAAATGCTTGTTCATCTTAAATGGGTCTTTGATTGTAGGTCTTGTCTATACTTGTCCTGGCAACATATCCCTTCATAGCCAAACTACAAGGGCTAGAACTCAAAATACTAATCAATATAGCTTCACTTTTGGGGAGCACATTTTCTGTGAGTTGCTATTTTCCTCATTAATATAAGCATCCATAAATGAACGCACAAGAATTTTCTTATTTGAACAAATTCTAATATGTATTTGAACAAATTAGGCTACAATTACTACTGCGTGCAACATTCTGCAAAACACAGCAGTGGTAAGCATCAATCATGTCTAATAGGCTAATCTGTTTCAATACATATACTTGACCATTTTTGTAGATTCTAACTTCCCCTATGAAACATGTGCAGACACAAGAACAGAGAGGTGTTGCAAATGGCATCTCTGTGACTCTAATGTCATTGTTCAAAAGTGTAGCTCCAGCAGCAGGAGGAATTTTGTAAGTATACTACATTCTTTTTCCAGGCAAAAAAAAAAGAATTTTTTTTTATTTTTTTCCGATTGCTGAGATTTTTTTCTTGCTATCATACAGGTTTTCGTGGCTGAGATTTTTTTCTTGCTATCATACAGGTTTTCGTGGGCTCAGAAGCACATGACTGGGCTGTTATTACCAGGTACATAAACTACACATACATGTCTACTTGTGATGCCTATGGCCTTATCCTTGTAGGATGGCCGGCAGCTAAATCACCGCAAATTACTGAGTGCATATTCCTGTTTGAATTGTGAAAAATGTAGGTGACCAGATCTTATTCCTGATGAAAAACATGGTGGCAATAATCGGACTAATTTTGACGTTCAAGCCATTTTTCTCCATGTCAGATGCATTGAGACGTTTATAATAGTAATAGTATATGATTAGTTGTCACTTAGGGTTAAATCAGGGTGGTCACCGTCTCACCGATTGCAGACCTAATGATATTTAAAACTGCGAGAATCCATATACTATATGGGTCTATACTTTTCACATAATGTTCAATTCCGTGATCAGTGCGAGAAGGTGCTCTTCAAATTTTCTTGGATGTAAACTCTGGAGAACCAGGTGCTTCCTTTTGTCTCCTTTTCCTCGGCTCCTAAATCCCAACATGTGCAGAACTGCAGGACTAGTAGATATATAAGAGAGCACTAACATTGGTCATTGCACCTGTTTGTGTGCACGAGGACAATTTCTTCCCCTACTTCATAATAGTGAAACTTGAACAGCACGTCCTTCCCAGATGATGGATCCGAAGAGCGTGATCCCTGGTGCAACTGGTAGGATTAGATGTGATTTATTTAGTTTAACACACGCCTTGAACTCCAGGTGACAGAAAATCTTCTGATACGGTTCAATCAATGTATTTTTCCTTGACTGTTGGTTTGTGCGCAATCAGCTTGTGGTTGGCACTGCGCGATCAGCTCCTGAGGTCTCTAGATGGACCTTGATAACCCTCAAACTCAAACCTTAACCAATAACTACCGGCCGACGGCGGTGGAAGGGAAGACCTTGAGCTTGCAGGGAACGAGGGAAGAAGAATATGGGCCTGTTTGCTTGTCACCCAGGCAAGCTTGCCTGGCGCCGATGCTGCTGCCAGGCGTCCGCTGTCCGCTGTCCTGTGCCTGGGGCCGGGACTGCAGCTTGGCGGGCAGCTTGACTGGGAGGACGTGAAGCAAACACGCCCTACGTCTTGGTCGAGTTGGGTCGGAACAGTAGACAGTGGATGGGGTGGCAGAGGCCTTTTTTTTTTTTTTTTTTGCTATCTGCGACGTCGCGTCGTTTATTACGGAGAACTTTGTGCCAACGGTCAGTGGATCATGCTATCGACTCTATATGCTCAAAGTCCAATTTTACTTGCTATAAAACCGGGGCATTGATCTTCTCACTTTTAAAACTGTTTTTTTTTCACCCTATGCAGTCTAGATTGTCGTTTTAGCCTATGTGGTACCCGGTACCACGTGGACTGGGTATCGGAAGTCGGAACTGCTCGATAGTTCACGAATTATTAAGTAGACTAGTGGACAGGTGCCCATAAACATATTCATTTGTAAAGGAGGAATTACAATGAAAATTTCGAGGAATGATAATGCACATTAGAGAGAATTCATACAATAGATAAAGAAATCAAGAGGTGTTCAAACTCTGATGTCGGTGTGCTCAATTTCACCAGAAGTTATGTACAGACCAAAAGTGATGGTACTAAACCATCATTTTGTAAGATGGGGTTGAAATTGCTTCCAGTCACCAAGCTCTTTGGGTGTTCCAGCAGATTGTGTACATAATAGAAAATAAAACTGTGCACTGAAAATTGAGAGCAACGAGAGGAAACAATTGTAGCTTTTCAGTACAAGAAAAGAGAAACAAAAAGAAAAGAAAAGAATGTATTGCTTCACAAATCGACTGTCAAAATTAGTGCACATCTTTCTATCTCAGCACACCCATCCTATCTGAAGCTAAAACCAGAAGTTGCACTCTTGGGAAAAGTTGAATATGGAGTATTAGTACTCATGCAAGACGCTGACTAATGATAGCATTTTCTCTGGATGTGTTGTTTCAGTGGTTTCACATACTTTGAAAATTAAATAGTTCAGAAATATTTAGAATACGAATCGAGAAATAAACAACTCGTGTTGCTCAGGATGGATGGCTGAACCATTAGCACCAAATCGAAAGGATTGCAAGAAATAACTACTGCTGACACTCACCATGACACTGTACTGAGAATGGTCATTTGCTTAAAGCCCCTCATTAAAGTTGAAGAACATGTTCAAAGCTTATACTTGTTCTGAACATAAAAGAAATATTTAGTGAGGTAGCTGATTATCACAGGATACTGCTACCATCGGCAAGTGTTACCAGAATATCAAATTTGCAAGCTAACAAACATCCAACATTTATGATATTATTTACCATCAAATTTATAAAGCGAAAGCCTCACCTCACATCAAACTTACCAGTATAGCATTTTTAAACCAATACTGCCAACTTGCTCAAAATACCAGGGTCAGCACAGAGTAAATACAGAGAATAAGCCAAGTGGTAATATATTTTCCATATGCTAAAATATTTTCTCTTTGATAAATAAACAGAAAAATTGTCTGGTGAGGTGCTTGTGTTCTCACCTAGGTCACGTCTCTTCACCGTCAGGAGCAATGAACAGTAACATCCAACACCACCAAATTGTCTGCCCAGATATGTTACACAATTTCAGGTCACGTAATATAAATTGCATTTATAAATCAAGGTCTTCCATATATCAACAACTCATCTGTGTGACCACCAAACTATTTTTCCTAATGCATATTCTGAGAAGCTAATTCTGCTCAGGGAACAAAGTGTAGCAGCCCGACCACCCATTTTGCACTTCAGAAATACAAATCTACTATGTCACACTCGTAACAACAAGGGATATAGCAGAACGCTCGGCACTGCCCTACCTAATACCTATAGACTGTAGAGTTTGTCTGTTTTTTATCTCGCGTAATCCATGGATTAATCAGAAGCACAGTTCTAAAGGGCAGGCCTGGTGCAGTGGTGAGAGCTGTCTCACTGAGTCATCAGGTCATGGGTTCGAAGCAGCCTCTCTGCAGATTTGCGGGGGGAAGGCTTGCCTCGGTTTTTCCCTTCCCCAGACCCCACTCATGTGGGAGCCTCCGGCACTGGGTCTGCCCTTTTTAATCAGAAGCACAGTTCTAGCTATTAACTGAGTCACATGTCCCAAACAAACTGAATGCATCTTACTCCAAATTGCAGTTTACGAACTGTTTTCCAAAATTGTTGCGCAATACAGATGCTCAAACAAATCATCTTACAAGCTAATTGATACTCGGATTTAGGGAGGCAATCAAAGAGATGGTCTAGAATTGAGTACCTTACTTCCTCTTTAATCTTCAGAACAATCCAAGCTAAGAGGTTGTTGAAATGACTCAGTCCCCTCGCTGCTCCTGAAGCAATGGATGTCTTGTAACGGACTCCTACATGTAGACAAACATTTTATAAATCGAAAGATACTGACATACAATTGAAAGCGTAGTTTTGTAGACAAACGAATGTAGTTGAAAGTTGAAACGTCCTACCTGCTAGAGGAAAACAAGGATATGTGCATTAGAATCATGTAGTATTTGCTAATCCATTTCCGAGTAAAAAGCTCACTGCTGCTAATCAATTTTGAGGAATGAGAACAGAAGATGTCTTAGAACATGATTGATGATTACTGAATGTTTTTTCTATACTACTGCTGCTGCTATCTAGCTTTATTTCATCATCTCCATCAGGTATGAAAATGTATGCTGTGCTACTTGCAAAGTTTATCACTACCTTGGGAATCATCTTATGGCTGATTTACATGGTGAAACTAATTCGCATAGATCACAGCCAGCTTCTAGCTGCACATCTCTCAAAACTCAGAATCAAGTACTGATAAAATCAAGTATGATATTATAGCTTATCTCAAGTATTGACAACAGTTATCAACACTCATCTAATTAACTGAATGTGGCACTTTAGGTTCTCTGATTTTTTTTTACAGCAAACAAAAGTCGGAAAATATTACAGTGACTATTTTAAGTATGATATTACAGTTTAGCTTGACATCAGAGAAAATAAAAAAAACCATGCTATGAGATCCCAAATAGTATAAATCAAACCATGATACTTGACCCTGATCGAAAATTTTGTTCTTTGCCTGAAACTAATATTTTCAGTACAGAACACCAGCGCTATGGAAAAGAACAGATGATTAAAACTAACATTTTCAGAATAAAACACATGATTTTAAACTAATAAATTATGACAATATGTTCATGCAAAATATGCAGAGGCAGGCCTGTGTGAAGGAAAGGGTAAGGGCATACCTGTTGGATGCTCATCACCCGACAGAGACTTTGTGAAAGGCTCGCTGTTTGTCCAGCAATCGTCACTGAGAGGCGCACTTGGGGAGAGAATAGGAATGAGTAGGGTAGGAGGAGGCACACCTGGATCTGGTGCTCGCCACGGCAGCGGCGCGGCTACTCCTCACGATCCGACCGACGGGCGCGTCGCGGGCAGCACGGCGGCACGGTCGCGGCGCCGGCGCTCGGCCCTCTTACCCGGCCAGAGGCACTCGTCACCTCGCCACGACAGCAGCGTCCGGCCGCCAGGATCCCGTGAAGAAAGCGTCCAGCGAGAACACCGAGGGAGGCGGCGCGGCGCACTACTTCGTCGACTACGTGGTCACGTCACGCTAGGCGCGGCGGGGCTCTTCGCCGCGAACTTCCCGTCATGGAGCTTCGATCCTGTACCGCCAGGCCGTGTCTGGAGGGTTCGTCCAGGCCGTGAAGGTGCAGACGACGAAGTTTTCGCCGGCAGGGATAGAGGAAGCGCGGCGGTTGGCGGTGTCGCGAGGACGGGCAGGGAGCGAGGAAGCGCGGCGGTTTGCGGTGTATTGGGCCTGGATTTTTACTGTGGAAAACTTGGTGGCCCATTTGCATAGGACGCAAGGGCCGGCCCAAAATCGATTTTCAGAAATGCACATGCCACGGCCGCCACAGAGCTCTCGTGGCGTTCTTCTAGGGTTCAGAAATTTCCCCAATTCCCCGCTCGATTTTGGCTTCGCACTGCCCCGCGTCGGCGCCGTCGGTCCTGGCCATCTCCGGCGGCTGGTAAAGCTCCCGTCTCCTCCCCGTTGCCGCTGTTCTCTCTCTCGCGCGCGCGCATTCACTGACATTTCCATCTCGATCCCCACTCCGCAGATCACTCTCGGTGGCATGGACTGCTCCAAGAACGAGGGCGCGGTGGCCGCCCTCCCCGACGACCCCCTGGTGGAGATCCTCTCCCGCGTCCCTGCCAAGTCCGTCTGCCGGTTCAAGTGCGTCTCCAAGGCCTGGCGCGACCTCATTGCCGACCCTCACCACCGGAAGAAGCTCCCCCAAGCTATGCAAGGACTCTTCTTCATGGTGCCAGAGGACTTTATCAATGTCAGTTTCAGTTTCATCGATCTGACAGCGAGATCCGTGCCTCTAGACATCGACGCTGCCTTCTCCTTCCTGACAGAACGGCCTGGGTTCCAGAACCTCGGCTTGCTGGATTCCTGCAACGGTCTTATCCTCTTCCAGAACTACCACGAGCCGCTGTCCTCTGACACATTGGGCTATGTCGTGTGCAACCCGACCACAAAGAGATGGCAAGCCGTGCCCACTTGTGGCTCTCTGGATCTGACAACCTGTACCTATTTGGCTTTCGATCAGGCCATATCCTCTCACTTCCACTTGGTCCAGTTCCAGTTATCTGTGCCGGATGAGATGTTGGTGTCGCTGCATGTTTACTCATCTGAAACTGGGACCTGGAGTCACAACCAAATTGACTCTCAAGAAAATCAAGGACCATTGGCAGAGTGGCATCTTCGTGCCATGCTATCTCGTAGGGAGCTTGAGTGTGCCTTTGTTAATGTCTTCCTGCATTTCATAGTTGGGGACTCGGATCAACATCAGATAGTTGCTGTAGATGTACAAGGGAAGGCAAGAAGGGTGATCACAGTGCCAGGTGTGGCTGATGGGAGGCACCGGTATTGTTATTTAGGGCAGTCCCAAGGGTGCCTGCATTACATGACTCAGGAAATGTTTGATGATCATGAAGACAGGTACAAACTGTCCATCTGGGTTCTTCAGGATTATGATACACAATGGGTGTTGAAGGACACTGTGAGCTCCATGGAGATCTTTGGACACTTGACTAGTAACATTTTGTACTTCATCGTTGGCATTCATCGAGATCGTAATGTGGTCTTTTTTTAGTTCTTGAGTAGTAATCTGATAGCATATGACATGGACCATAAAGAAGTGAGTGTTATTGCCACTTTTGAAGTTCTGAAAAAGCCGCTCCGTTTTGCTCATTATGTTCCCTGTTTCTCAGAATGCCCGGCTCTCACAAATTAGCACTGAGAGTATATGCTCTATGTATGAGTTACTAGCAGCTTTTTGTTAAATTCTAGTAGACTCAGGTAAAATGTTCTGTCCGCACTATGATGTATTCCTTATAATGCTTTTGATCTAATTAGTATTGCAAGCCTGTTAAGACATTTATGAAGTGTACCTTTATGGATGCTAGTTGTGTCCAAATTGAACAATTTGCACTTCTGTTGAGAAGTTTTATGATTCACACTTTTTTTTGTGACTACTAATGAGCAATTATTTACCTTGAATTTAGTTTCTTTGGTCGTGTATTTATTTCTGCTGAGCAAGTAAAATCATCTTATATATGTGGCAACTTTTAAATGGTGCACGTATGAATCACATTCAAATGGAAGGCTTGCTGTAACATCAAAGGTTTCCTGAGTATGGTTGGGAATGGGATTAGAAGGAATATTTGGTACAGGTTCTACCAGACCTGGGAATACAATTGCCTATGGGAAATGCTGCTTTCCATCTAGTCCAGGATGCCAGCCATTCTCTTTTCCACGAGCTGTGCCGTCTTTATCTCTCACTTCCCCCAACTTTCCCTCTCATCAGCCATCTCTGTCTTCCACAAGCTCCCCTTTCCATCGATGAAGACGATAATGGTCCGCCAGATGACGCGATCCTGGAACCTAATTCTTCTTCTACAACCCTATTCTGTCCTGGTATGAGGTCAACCAGCACACCGGCGACGTGTCAGCCACCACATTTGCTTGGGACTGCAAATTTTCCAGGTAAAATGAGTTGTTCTAAATTTTAGATCTACAGCTATTTCATTCTGCTTTTAGTTACATGTTTTTTATTGGATCTGGATCTGGATGTTGCTTTTAGTTCATTCGTCTGGTGCTTTTGATTAGTTTTTAGATCTGGTCTATCATTGTTTTAGTTCAATGTGATTGATGGAGACAGACAGACAGTAGGCCTTCTGTTAGTTCATATGTCTGCTTAGTTTTAGATAAGCACCAAAGGCTCTTACGTGTGCTGTGTCGTTTTTGGTTTTCTTGTTAATTAGATTATTAAGATCTGCTTGTTTTCTTAGTTTTTCTAGACGTCCTATATTACGGGCTTGACTTTATATCTAATGCATGGTGCTTTACATTAATTTTTATAGATCTGTTATCTAGGTTCTTTGTTTAATATTCAATGTGGTAACGTGGCTGCTTGTAAGACATAATCTGCTGCTGATCTCTCTCTCTTGCTGCAGCACCCTAGTACATTAGTTGGTAGCGGGCTGATCTAAGCTTTGTACTGCTAGTACTAGGAGTAGTTGGTGTACCTTAGGAGTAGGTAGTTGGTGTACTCACCAACAACTATGTACCTGGTAGAGTTACTAGCACTTGTATATATATCACACCTAAGGCAATGCAAAAGAGCAGTTCAGTTTGCCACATCCAGAAGCAGAGCTTTCGGCCAACGCTGGGCTTGTGCTTTGTGTGTGTGAGCTGTTCTCAATATCTTCTTCTACCTCTAGCCATAGTGTGTGAGTGTGTTGGTAAGTTTACTGCTTACCTGTGCAGGGCAGCCGAGGGACCAACAATGCTGCTTTTTAGTTATTATGTTGCACATTGACACTGCAAGTGGATAGCATTTTTTATTAGTCTTTGGAAGTTTAGTCTAGTAGTTAGATTTCTTTATTCTGTTGTGCTGATAGTTGATTTTATAAATTAGTTGTGATGGATAGTGTGCCATGAAACCTGATTTCTTCTTGATTATATATATTTTTTTATTTCAACTTGTATCTGCTTGCCTTAAGCACCGACTGCTTTTATAGGTAGCATGCTTAAAAGAAAGCTTCATTTATAGTTGCCTGAGAAAAGAAAAGGCTAAACAACTTTTAAAAGTGACGCTTTATCTGCAATGCGTTATAAACAGACTAACATCATGGATTCTTGACACAAACTGCAGACGTATTTCAGAACCATTGTCAATCTGGGTGTCACTGACTGAATGAGCTGCACAAAGGTGGACATGCTGAGGAAGGTTAGATTGTTAATTAATATTTTTTCTTGCAGCTTCATTTATTTGTATTATCTGAACGTTTGTCATGCCACATATAAATTATTAAATTATTTCTGAAACTGTAACAGGAAGTTCTGGTTACGATTTTTATATGCCAGTTTGTTATCGTATGAATGAAACCTGTGGAGATAACATCAGTGGACAGTGGTCAAGAAGGTGTGCATTTTTGGACTAATTAAGACATCAGAGATGTTATCTGCTGATTATGGTAAAAAAAATAAATTGTGGCTGGCTAACAAATCCTAAGTGCAATCTTTTATATGTCAGCTTGGATATTGATGACTAATGACCTGCAATACACAAATATTTTAAGTTTCAATTTTCCATCTGTCATTACAGAGCTGCACTATATGTATATTTCACTATCATGAATTTTTCCTTTGTAAAATTTCTAAAAATATTAGTTTACAAATCAATAGATATTAGAGAAAATGACCGTTCCTTTTGCTATTGTTTAAATCTTCAGTTTGTGCTAATTACAAATAATATAAAGGTTGGTTGTCATTATTTCATTTGAGATAGTGCCTTTATTTTTACCATTGTCATATTTCATTAAACTCATATCATTTCTTCATTCTAAAAAGATGATAGCTACATTTGTGATTTGTTAATGTCATTGTGTTTCTAATGTAGGAGATTTTTGCAAAAATCCCTAGCATTCTGTAGATTATGCAGCTTCTAGAAATATACCATTCCCTTTCATAGTGCTTTTTTAAATGATTGAAGAATTGCGTTAATATCATATCATTCTTCGTACTAACAAGTTGATATTTGCTTTTGTAATTTATTAATGTCATATAATTTTTGTTGTGTATTTTATTAAAGGTGTTATACTTTTTAGATGAGCTACTGAGGCTGGTCTTTTTGGTTACTTCTAGTCCTCTTCTATCACCAGTCTGATTTTAGATCTTATTCATGGTGCTTTTGATTAACTTTTTAGATATGTTATCTAGCTTTATGCTAATCTGGCTGACTTCAAGCGGATTATTGTTTTGATTAGTCTTTAGAACTTTAATCTAGTTGTTTGTTGTATTTTCTTATTGTTCTTATGGGTCCTTTTATAAATTTGTTTATTTTATCTTACTCTGGTTGTTTTAAGTATATTTCTACTAAATTTTGCAGGCTGTATGAATTATTAAACCATTTCCTCATTCTATAACAGGTGGTTCTTTTATATACAAGTTTTATAGCACATGTTATAATATGGATAGCATAGTCACCACAAATTAAATGTATGCATTTTTTGGTTACTTGGCTTGATGGTTCCACCAGCTGGAACAATTTAATTTAAAAAAATGGTTTTGGCCACTCATGTGTACATTGTTAGCTATGCATTTTCCATTTTTTTGGGTCACAATATGTTCTTCGTGAATTTATCTAGCATTTTTTCACTTGGTACAATTTGTAAAATCAGAAGGGCAGGCCTGGTGCAATGGTGAGAGCTGTCTCACTGAGTCACCAAGTTGTGGGTTCGAAGCAGCCTCTCCGCAGATTTTGCGGAGGGAAGGCTTGCCTCGGTTTTTCCCTTCCCCAGACCCCCACTCATGTGGGAGCCTCCGGCACTGGGTCTACCCTTTTTTTTACAATTTGTAAAATCAAATGTTTCCAGATGATAATAGATTCCATGTATTAAAATATTTTAATGTAAAGCTAACTTGAACCCTGATAGTGATCCAGTAGTTCTAAAAAATGAATCAGATATTGAACACATTTTTAGTTATTCTTCACCCTAGTAGCTCAATGCTAGTGTGGTGATGCTCTTGCAGATATTGAACACACGGCAATCTTAACTAATTTCAAACTTTATTCACTAAATCAGAGTACTAGAGGTTTCACTTTGCTATTCAGCTTCAATAAATATCAAGATGGTATTGCATTTTCTAGTTCATCAAAATCTATATTCCGTTAATATGATTTTGATAGTTATTAACTTTCTCATGAGTTTTGTCTTAATTTTTAAAAATATAATCGGATGGAAATCCAAAATGTTCTAGGCTTTAAAAAACTTTCTGATGTGAATTCAGCTCATTCTCCATTACAGTAATGCTTCCAATTTATATTCAACTATGCAATGACAAAACTTTCTGATGCAGGCTTGAAAAAACTAGAAAAACTGAATATGAAATATTGTAATTGCATCACAGATTCAGATATGAAAGTATTTGTCAGGTAGCACCTCTCCATAACTGACTGTTGTAAAGTGCATATCAGTATATTGTAACTTACAATGATCTCCCAGGCTAACAAATAGCATTTTCCTTCTGCAGATCTCATGAATTTGAGAGAGCTACAGCTCTCTTCCTGCAAAATCTCTGATTTTTGTGTTTCTTATCTGAGAGGTAACTCCAAGAAACACAAATAAATTTCTTCATTTTTCACTATAATATTTGGTTCTTGTACATGCCCTTGTGTAAACTAGGTGTATTTTTATTTTGGGAAAATGGTGTTCTTGCCCCTTACACAGATGTGCAATTGTGATTTTGCCCTCGTTTTTCTAACTTTGTGATTTTGCCCTTAACTGTTCATAAGTCAACGCGATTTTGTCCCTGGTCAACGCAAATTCGCCCCTGTTTTTACCGTTGACCAGGGGCAAAATCGCGTTGACTTGTGAACAGTTAAGGGCAAAATCACAAAGTTAGAAAAACGAGGGCAAAATAAGTAGGGACAAGAACACAAGAGCCCCTTTTATTTTTGATTAAGTCATTGCTTTTAGTTATTCAGTAACCATATGAACGTTTCATTTGAACTTAGCAGTAACTCATTGCTTTGAGTTGTTGGGCCATCAATTCAGGTCTACACAAGCTAGGTCATCTAAATCTGGAGGGTTGTACAGTTACTGTAGCTTGATTGGAGGTTATATCTGGTTTGTATCTTTTCCTGGGCATACTGTGCCATCGGTTGACACTTGTGCGAAAATATCTTACATTTAGTCTCAAGAAGTCCCCATCTGTTTTCCTTCTGCC